CCCATTTTCAGGTGATGCCTGAGCATCATGCAGAACCATCTGTAAACCAGGCATGAGTTTTCTCTTCCACATGATCATAAGGAACTCTTCATAAGGCTATAAGGCAGACTGGGAGAGGGAAGGTAATGTGACAGGAGTGGAGAACATTGGCATTTGGGCCATTTCCTTAGGTAACTTACTTTTGTTTCAGCTCAGTCTTGTATTTACCACTTCCATTTAATTATGGCATTCTGCTATGGACATTTAATTTTATGGCTCTGTGGGTCAGACAATACCCAATTACGCCAATTATGGGCAGCTCAGGCCATGTAGTGATTTAGTGGCCCACGATTAAGGATTCAGTCTCTACTAGACTACTAACAGGCCAAAAGCTGTTTCCCAAGAGTACCCCTACTCATCAACTATCTCTTTATCTGATATTTTGCACTTAACAGATGCCAAGGTGCTAGGCAAAGAGTTAATGCTGGCTGTGACAGTATGTGTCAACTTTGCTGGGCCAGGATTCTCAGTGGTCTAGTTGTCATGTAATGATGTATCAACAGTTATGTAATGATATAGTCATCTTCCATTTTGTGACCTGATGTAGTCATCTTGTTTTCACATAATGCAGTTTTTTGCATAATGATCTGGTGTTTGGAACCTAACCACTGAATGCCTAGAAATTTCACTGAGGTGGAAAGTGCCTTGTCAGGTTAATTTCCCATGTAGCATGCAAATGTCTTACCAAAAAGTTAGAATCATTCATAGTTTTTCCTTACTAGGTTTAGCTAGCTTAATGTTACCAATATAATGGATCAGTGTGATGTCTTGTGGAAGGAAAAGGAGACCAAGTCCCTTGTCAACTAAATTATGACATGTAAGTGTAGAGCGGATATATTCCTGAGGTAGGTCAATAAAGTATATTGCTGGCTTTGCCAACTGAAAGCAAATGGCTTCTGGTGTTCCTCTGAAACAGGTATGGAGAAAAAGGCATTGACCAGCTCAACAGCTGTAGAATCCAGGAGATGTAACCATTTGCTAAAGCAATGAAACCACATCTGGAACAGCAGGTGCAGATGGAGTCACCACATGCTTAGATTTTTTTATAATCCACTGCCTTTCTCCAAGATTCATCCATTTCTTACATAGGCCAAATAGGAGAGCTGAATGGGGATGTAGTGGCAATCACTACCCTGCATCTTTCACACCTTGACGTTGGCAATCATCTCTGTAATCCATAGTGGTATTGCTTTTGGTTTACTATTTTCCTAGCTAGGGGCAGTTCTAATGGCTTCCCCTTGGCTTTTCCAACCGTAACAGCTCTTACTCCACATCAGTGATGCAATGTGGGGGTTCTGCCAGTTGCTGAGTTTGTCTAGTCCAATTATACATCCTGAAACTGGTAAAATCATTACACAGTGGGTTCAGGGACCCACTTACCCAATGTGAGACGGACTTGAGAATCCATTAATTACCTGACCTCCATATACCTTTACTGACTGGTGAGCCATAGGGACTTTTTGTCTCTCCTAGAATTAATGTCAATTCAGAGCCAGTGTCCAGTAACTCCCAAGTCTGATTCCCCCCACATTGACTAGCCACTCAAGTAAAAGCCCACAGATCCCTTTAGGGAAGGTTGGGAGAAAGATGAACAGTATACATTCTTGGCAGTCCAGTAGAATCCTTGCTCAAGGGGTTGTTGGTCTGTAAACTGACTCAGGTCTAGGAACTGACTGAGAGGTGATTCATGTTAGACCACTGTTCACTTGAGGTAGAATTCTTCTGCTTGTACAGATCAAGTAAATATCTGGTAGCTTTCCTATCTATTTCCTTCCTGAGAAACCATGACTAAGTAGCCAACACTGTAACTCAGTTAAGAGTCAGGATATTCTGACCACTCCCTTGACTCTGGTCTCTATTACAATAACCATGCTCACTTTCCCTTCAGTGTAAGTGTTGCCACTTGGCCCTCTGGTGGAGTAGTGCCTGAGGCATTTGACTGCCAACCAGAAGGCTGGTGGTTCAAATCCACCAGCCACTCCTTGGAAGGAAAACTGGGCAATCTATTTCCATAGAGATACCGTCTTGGAAACCCAAGGAGGGGTCACTATGAGTCAGAATTGACTTGACAGCAGTGAGGTATTTTTTTTTTTTTTTTTTAATTTGGCCCCTACCATCACGGGGTCCAATCTGCCCCATTGCAGTTAGGTATCTTAATTCAGTTAGGGCAGTTCCCACTATCAAATCTGACTAACACAAAAAGTAATTACAATAGTCTTCAAGGATGCTGGGGCTCCCTTCACAAATGTGTTCCTTACTGTTGTGGTAAAAGGTATGTCCTCTAGGCACTCCACGGGTGGGTCTGTGAGCCCAACCTGATAAATCCACTCTAACATGCTAATTTCCCTAAGTCTTTGCATACCTTCTCCTACAGTATACAAAAGCAGGTGTGGCATTTCAACTGGACTTAGTGTAGGCCACCACATACTCCATATTTCAGTGAAACAGCCAAATAAACTATTAGATCCTTTCCTAACCTTTCAACATGAAACACTGAACAATTTGTGCTTAGTGGACCCCTATCAATAAACTCAAGACTGATTCAGCTTTATGTTCCTTGTACCCTTAATAGCCGTTAATACACCCTTAATAGCCATTCCCACATATACTCCCCAGGTTTGTTTATATGTATTAGAAAAAAATCAAACAGTTCTTTTGGAGTGTAGCATACGTCCTCCTGGGTTACACTTTGTACTTCACCTGTCGGGGGTCACTGGGACTCTAGTTATAGGTCTAGAAACAAAAATGGGTGGTGGAGATGCGCCATGGGGGCACTCAGTCCCGTTCTGTAAGGCATCTGCAATGAGGTGATGGCCCAGGCACCAACCCACAGGCTGTCTCAGACAAAACTCTTCAGGCACAGCTGGATTAATCTCATCAGATGGGGATGGAAAGGATATGGTTGAGGGGGGGGCAGTTTAGCAGACAAAGATGGAGCAGCCTCTTCAGACTGGATTAAGGTTGGTTCTACCATACCTGTGGCTTCCAGCCAAGCAAAAGACAGGCATAGGAGTTGAACATTTACCTGAGGTAGATACACTCCTTGGAGAGAACAATTATGGGAGAAAGAAGGGCTGTTTATGCCCAGGGAGACAGCTCATGGGCGCAGGGGTGCGTGGACGGATGGACACAGGGAAGAGGTGACTGTTGGAAGGGGAGCTGTTGTAGTGTGGTCAATGTCATGAGACAAAGTATATGTGAATCAATGTGAACTGCTATTTGGAAAGTGAATTTGTTGACTGCTAATCAGAAGGCGGGTCTAACCCACCAGCCAGCCCTCGGAAGAAGAGTGAGCAATCTACTTCCATAGGGATACTACCTCGGAAACCCAAGGGGTCACTATGAGCCGATACTGACTGGACGGCAGTGAGGTTTTTTTTTTCCCAACATACAAGTGGCAACATTCAGGTCTCTGACACAGTGGCCTTGAGCTCATCCCTCTCACCATTGTCTCTATCAAAAGTAGGACAAACCAACCAGCTTCCTTATGCTTCTTATTTAGGCAAAGCTGTAAAGTATCAGATATTCAATCTCGGAGGGCTTTGCCTCTAACAGATACCTATTCATGGGGAGTACTTCTATTGACACCCCAAGCCACGGACTAGAAGTGCCCTCTTTACTACTGGAGGCAGAATCATTGGTACCAACCAACCAGACTTGAGAACTAATTCAGAAGATCAATCCTCAGGATTTTGTTCCTCTAGAATCTCTCCTGGTACTAGATGTCTTAGGATGGTTCTCAAGAGGAGCAAAAGCAGTGAAAGCATTTCACATATAAGTGAACATGCAGAGATTTAACTCAAGGAAATGGCTCACGTGAATGTGGAGTCTGCGAAGTCCCAAACCCACGTGTTAGGTGTAAGGCTGGAGGCTCTGACTGCAGAGAGTGACCAACTCAAAACTGGTAGGTCAGAAGGGAGGTTGCTGCTTCATTGCAAAAACGGAACGGCAGATGCTAACAAGTCAGAGGCGGGACATAGCGCAACAGTGACCTTGCTGGAACATCCATTTACATCTTGGAGGCGGGCCACAGCCCCAAGGAAACTCCTCTTTCAACTTGACTCCTTGCTCCTACCAGATCTCATCACGGTAGTGATTACATTATATTACATGATGAAAGAATAATCAGTCCAGTGTCTGCCAAACTAGAGAATCATACCCTAGCCAAGTTGGGGACCTAACATTAATTCATCACACCTGTTAATAGGTTGTATCACTTGGCAGACGAGAATCTGCAGATACAATTAATGCTCCTGAGTGGGAGACTATCCTGTCTGATCACATGAGCTGTGGGAAGGTCAGACCCAAAGGTGCTCATGGCTTCATGCAAGCCTGGCCAACAACCCACTTCACAGCCCCGGCCCCTCTTGGTGGTCACTCTTCTACCCACGCCTGGAGAGGAACTCCCATAACTGTCCACCGAAGCAGGACTTGAGGACAGCGAGGCCCATGAGAACCAAGGCACGTGGAGTGGGGATGGGGGCTTCTGGGACTGTGGGGAGGGGGCTGGCCCTTCTCCTGAGCACAGCTGCTCTGCAGCTCCAACTGTCAGACTTCTCATCTACAAGCTCTTGCCTGTCACAGCAGACACTGGAGCTGAACAACCCTAAAGTGCACACTGAGGGCCACGAGGACCACACGTCACGGGGGGCAGCCTGTGGCTCCGGGCCCAGTGGAAGCACACCACCGGCTGCCCCTCCCCAGAGAGGGGCTGGCTTTCTCTCTGGAGTTTCTGCTGCCTCTGACCACATCGTGGAGGGCCCGAAAGGGCAGTTTCTGAGCATGCTCAGTCTGGACCATGTCACAAATGAGGGACTAAGAGTTGGGGGTCACATGGCCTCCAGGCAGCAGGAGACTCAAGCTCAGGCCTCTCTGTAGGGGGGCTTCTTTTCCTCAGGGTTGATGGGGCCTGGTGCAGGGGACGTCCCGCTGCCAGCACGTCCTGTGTCTCCTCCATTCACTCATGGGGCCTCAGGCCGGTGGCTCTTCCTGTGAATGACCAGCTGGGACTTCCAGTCAAAGCCAAGGCCACATTCACCACAAAAGTGGCGCCGCTGGCCAACGTGGCTCTTGCGGTGGATGACCAGCTGGGACTTCCAGCTGAAGCTGCGCCCACACTCCTCACATGGGTAGCTGCGTGGGCCTGTGGGCGCACGCCGGGCACAGTGGTGTGGCTCTCGGGTGCTTGGTGACAGCCTGACAGCACCCCTCATGGCTGGATGCCCACCCACATGCAGACGCCGGTGGATGACGAACACTGACTTCCAGTCAAAGCTGCGGCCGCACTGCTCACACCTATAGGACTTCCTTCGGGATGCCGCTGGCTCCCGCCCAGGCTGTGGAGAGGAGATCTGGCCTTGGGGCCCTGATGGCAGTGGCCAGGCTCCTCCCCAGCCCAGGGCCGTCTCACATGGGCTCCCACCCTCAACTCCTGCAGGGGAAGAGAGAGCCATGAGCTTGTCCTGATGCTGGTGCCCTCGGACCTGGGATGTGTGTGCAGAAGCAGCAGCACTCACCAGAGGGGAGGACCGGGTGGCTCCTGGCCTCCGCTTGTGGATCCTCTGGCTCAGTCACGCTGTACACCTCAGGCCTGGGCAGCGGCATCCCTGTTGGGGAGAACAGAGAGGTCAGGTGAGGGTCTAGAACGTGGGACCGGAAGGTGTGGGGACTGATGGCAGCGACACTAGTCTGGGCTTCGGTGGGTGACAGAGGTGCCTCTAGGGAAGGAGGCAGAATAGGTGCACGGCCCTGGGGATACCTGTAAACAGGGGAGGGCGTGGCTGTGAAGATCCCACCCAGGTGCTTGCTGATGTTGCTGAGTTCCCTGGGCCGGTAATGGCAACTGGACCAAAGCATGCAAGGGGACGGTGGGGGTGGGATGCGGCAACCAGGGGAGCCCAGATTCTCACCCAGGGAGACCACCGTCCCGTACTTCTCCAGCATCGCATCCCAGTACAGCTCCTTCTGTGACGCGTCTAGCAGTCCCCACTCCTCCTGCAGGAATGTGGCCCAGTCACCTTCCATGCCTGCCTACACAGCAGCATCTCGGCCACCAGGGCTAGCCCAGCACTGGAGGAGCTAAGAACCTCCAGACTTCTCTTCAGGGCAGAAAACCCACCCCAATGAGACCAAGCCACTGCTAACTAGGTTGCCAAGGGTGCAGTAATGGATTCCTGGGGGTAAATCATCTTCTGGCCAGAGCCTTTGTGACTCCCACCAGGTGACTGGGTGGGACTATGCAAATGTGAGGTGGTTACGGCCCCCAAGGGGACTGTACAGCTTGCTAATAACAGGGGAGAAGGCACCCTTGTGCCTTGGAAATAAGGTGCACAGAACCCTAACATGGAGATTGGTCAGTTTTGCTCTCCGCTAGGCTTAAAATGAGCCCTCCCAGAGGTGGAAAGGGGACTATCAGTAGCATAAAGAAAGAAAAGCCAGGATTGGAGTGCATCCTTGGGCCCAAGACCTGTGCACGGAGACGGCAAAGATGACAGACAGGTGGCAGCAGCAGGGGCAGCACAACAGAGTGGCTGGCTTAACTGCTCAAGGAGCAAGAGACTGAGCGCTTTCAGCAGGGCCTGTCGGCAGAGGAGGTGCACCCATTTGCAGGCCTCAGAGGGCTCTGCTGCACTTGCCTAAGCAGGGTGGAGGCCAGGCTGGGAAACCAAGGGCCAAACAGAGGCATGCCTGTGGGCATGCCCATGGGGAAGCTGTGCTGACTGAAGAACTGTACCCTCGGTGTTCCTGGATGTGAACTGTAACCTATATGTGGTATAGTGAATTACTTGGTATGGTTTTCTAGCCATAGTCTTTGTGACTCCGACCAGATTATTGGGTGGGACCATGCAAATCGGGTGTATGGAACTCTGATGCTGGGATTGGTTAGTTTTGTCACCCTGTCAGGCTTAAAATGAACCTTCCGAGAGACAGAGGGGGGATCCAACTGCCATCAAGAGAGAAGAGCTGGAGGTGGAGTGGATCATGTCCTTGGACCCGAGATCCCTGTGCTGGACCTCCTTGGCAGAGATGCCCCAACAGAAACGCCCGGCTGGGAGATGAAGGCAGAGGACCCAAGAGGCATGAGACACAGTGGCAGGTTTGCTGGTCACAGAGCAAGAAAGCTTAGTGCCCTTGAGAAGGAGGCTTGCTGGTGGAGTGGGGTACACCTAGGTGTACCTATTGGCAGACCTAAAAGAGCTTTGTAACACTTGCCTGAGCAGGGCAGAGGCCAGGCTAGGAGGTTAAGGGACAGAGAGGCGTGCCTGAGGACACAGCAGAGGGAAGACTGTCCTGATCCAAGAACTGTATCCTGAGAGTGTTCCTGAACCTGAGTAGTAGCCTGGGACTTCCCTAATAAAACTCATAACCCTGAGTATTGTCTGTGAGTTCTGTGTAGCCATTGCAACAAATTACCAAACCCAGTGAAGAAATACAGAGTGCTGTGGGAAGCACAGTTGGTACAAGAATTGGCAAAAAGGTTGGAGGGTGGGGGCATGTCTGATCTCTGCCTCAAAGGAACCAGCTTTGTGCTGTTGATATGGATCTTGATCCTTTTCTCCCCACTTTGTGAAGTTGGAGGAGGAAGCCACCACCACATCCTTTTTTGCACCCTGGTTTAAGGACAAATTTCTTCCCCACAGAAGAGACCATTGGTCCATCTCCCTTTCCTTCAAGACCTGGGGCCACTGTCTGTGAAACTGACTTTACTTTCTGGTAGCAGACAGCAAGGAGCCACCAGCCACAGGGCCTAGGGAACTGGCAGAGCACACGGTGGCTGCCAGAGACACGCCCCTCCCACCTGGGAATGCTCACCTGAATCCTGGGAGGGAGGAAGGCCGTGGAGGCCGGCTTCTGATGGTCAGGACGCCTCTCGGAGAACGGGGCTGGAAGCGGAGGGGCTGAAGGAGCTGGGAAGCAAGGTTGATGGCAAGGGTGAGGGCGGCCGTGGAGCTGGGGCGGGTGAGGAGCTGGCGTTGGTGCGGTCACCTCAACCTCATCCACCAGCAAGCAGGACCACTGGTGCCAGCCACCTGCCCGCTCCTCTTGCCACCTCGGGCTTCAGCTCTGCACACCTCCCAGGACCCCAGCCCACCCGGGGAAGTCCACACGCCCTCCACGAGCCCCCAGAACCCTCACCCATCTCCTGCCGCTCGGCATCCGGCTCTTCTTTCACGCTGCAGCTGAGCTGGACCGGCCCGTCCACCTGAGCAAGCTGTGGGCCCTCCACGGGGGCTGCCCCAGAGGGCTCTGCTGCTCCCGACGGCAAGGGGCCTCCTGCCTTCCGGGCTGCTGGGCGCACCTCCCGCCCTAGGACATGGGCCGTAATCTGAAGCGGAAGAGGAAAGTCATGGGGTTTGAGCCTTGCTCTGCCCCCTCAAGCGCCTCCGCAGGCCGGACCGATGGCGCTCACACTCACCCAGCCCAAAAGGCGCCCAGGGTCATGCTGCAGCCCCTCGACCAGGGCCACGGCCTCCTCGGGGCTGCCGGGCTGCTGCCCCCGCACCCAGGCCTGGATCTCGGGGGGCAGGGCGCCCAGGAACTGCTCCAGCACCAGCAGCTCCAGCATCTGCTCCTTGGAGCGCGCCTCGGGCCGCAGCCACCGGTGGCACAGCTCGCGCAGCCGGGCCAGGGCCTCGTGGGGCCCCGCCGCCTCCTGGTAGCGGAAGCTACGGAAACTCAGCCGTGCGGCCTCGAGCTCCTCCAGGGTGGCTGTGGGGTCGACGGGGGGCAGGCGCAGGGGGCCCGGCGGGGATGGCATTCTTGTGTGGAAGGTCTTGTTGGAGCTGCCAGGAGGGACCTACGGAAGAGAGACGGTCAGTTTGCTGGCCAAGGATCCTGCCCAGCGGAGAACGACACAGGCTCAGACAGGCCCAGCCTAAGGCAGGCAGAGGACCCTGGGCTGGCCGTGGAGGAGGCAGCTTCCCGGAGGAAGGGGTCACAGGAGCAGTCCGATGACAGAATGTGAGAGGAGAAGGGAGCCTTGGGAACAAACACCCGGGAGCAGGGCACCCAGGAAACTGCAAATGTTCCCTGGAAGGGGGATGGGGCTGCTGGGAGACGAGGACAGGGAGGTGACAAAGCAGCATCACAGGCCTTCAGGGTTGGGCTAAAGAAGCAGGACTCCAGGGACAGGCGGATGGGAGGCAGTGGGGAGCATCAGGAGCAGTGAGGGTGGGACCCTGGAAGAGGTGTTTGTCCTCATAGCCTCCCAGACGTGCCAAGTCAAGTGGGGCTCTGGGGGCTGGAGGACTGGGTGTGTAAAGGGGGCTGGTGTGAACTCTAAATGCTGTGCAAGCCAACCGGAGGATGGCTTGCACAATCAGTGTGTATAAACAGCAAGGCAAAACCAAGCCCCAGTGTCCCCGCCCTGGAGTAGGTCTAGAGGGACACACATCCACACAGGGGGGCCTGTCAAGCAGGATTCACCTTCTTCAGGTCTGTTCTATGCTTCTAAAAGGGGGGATGGGTTCCATTTTTAAATTATTAGAAGTTTTTCCTTCAACCTAGCCCTGACCAACAGTAGGCTAGGAGGACACTGGTCCAGACCAGACCCAATCCTCGGCCTGTCTAGGGGGCCCTGTCTTCTAGGGGAAAAGTGAAGGGAGTGAAGAGGTCTTCATGGAGCAGGGGCCCCAGGGCTGGTTATAGGGAATGGTGTTCTAGGCCTGAAGATTGGCTTGGGCCAGGTAACCTAGTCAGCATTTTCAGTATTATTTTCCCCTGACATCTGTCATTTCATTTCCCTGGCATTTCTGAACAAATCAAGAAATTTAATCACATAAGACCCGCTTATCTGTGGCTACAGAATAAATCTGTTATAAATCAGTGTTGTGCTTCTCTAAAATTTGATACATACAGATCAGTGAATTTTTTTAATTCTCTCATTTCCAGTGTCAAAAGATGTATCTTGCCATCTGTCTTGTATGAACCAAGCATCAATTCCTAGAACTGACCGATTCAATCTACCAGCAACATCCACTTTCAAATAGCATATTCTGTTTTTCAGATTACTACTTTTTGGAACGAAGTAAGTGTCAAGGAGAAGCGAGGTATCATCCCCAATGTCCTCTGAATTGACTAAAAAGGCTGACCAATTTAAACAATTGGATTTTAAATTTCACAAACTCCTAAATATTTAATTAACTGAAACAAACAACGGTTAGTAGTAACTAATTCGACACACGCAGCAACAACTCTTTATCTGGTTTTACCTTAAGGCATTCTGGGGCTAATTTGTCTAACGTGGAATACCCCTCATGCTTTCTTCAATCTTCTTCATCTTCTTGCTCTGCACGGCATTGTATTCATCAGCATGGTGACGCTTCAGGTGCCTCTCTAAATTCATTGCATGGTTCCCATCCATGGCTGTGTTACAAATTTTATACATACTTTCCTTTTCCATCTTTCCATACTTGAAAAATTCTTGACTTAGAATTTCTCTGGTTCGTCCCATACTAGAATTTGAAGGATAAAAAAATTATATTAACATCAGAGCATATGTTATAGTCACCATATTACATGATAGGGGGCTCTGGTGGTGCTGTGGTTAAGGCACTGGGGTGCTATACCAAAAAGGTTGGTGGCTGAAGCCCACCAGCTTCTCCATGGAAGAAACATGAGGCAATCTGCTTCTGTAAAGATTTACGACCTTGGAAACCTTATAGGGGGTCACTGTGAGTCAGAATCAAGTCCATGGCACTGGTTGTGCTTTATATTACATGATATTACATTGTAAAAACAAGTTTTCTGATTTGATAACATAAACAGAATACATAGCATAAATACATTTGTAAAGATGAATTAGAGCCAGTATGTATTAAAATACTTCTAGCGATACATCAACAGGAAACTTTCCCAAAAAAGTCAAGCCAGACTCAGAAGACAACGTGGAACAAGAGATTTAATTCCTGATGTCAGATGGGTCTTGGATGAAGGAAGAGAATATCAGAAAGGTTTTACCTGTGTTATACTGACTATGCAAAATCATTCAACTGGGTTGTTGTCTCTGACTCACAGCGACCCCTCCTTGGGTTTCTCAGGCAGCATCTCTATGGAAGTAGACTGTCCAATTTTCCTTCTGAGGAATGGCTGGTGGGTTTGAACTGCCAGGCTTCTGGTTAGCAGTCAAATGCGTTAGGCACTATGCCACCAAAGCTCCCAATCAACGAGGTAGATCATAATAAATTATGGATAACACTGTGAAGAACAGGAATTTTAGAGCACTTAATTGAGCTCATGTGGAACATGTACATAAACCAAGCAGCAGTAGTTCAAACAGAACCGGGGGATACTGCGTGGTTTAAAATCACGTAAGGTGTGCATCAGGGTTGTATCCTTTCACCATACTTATTCAATCTCTATGCTCAGCAAATAATCCAAGAAGCTGGCATACAGGAAGAACAGGCATGAGGATTGGAGGAAGACTCATTAACAACCTGTGACATGCAGATGACACAATGTTGCTCCCTGAAAGCAAAGAGTACTTAAAACCCTTACTGATAAAGATCAAAGACTACAGTCTTCTGCATGGATTACATCTCAAAATAAAGAAAACAAAAATCCTCACAACTGGATGCATAAGTATCACTGTGACAAATGGAGAAAAGACTGACCTTGTCAGTTTTATTGGGACCCACAACCAACGCCCATAGAATCAGTAGTCAAAAAATCAAATGATGCAGTGCATTCGGCATATTTGCTGCAGAAAGACCCCTTTAAAGTGCTAAAAAGCAAAGATGTCACTCTGAGGACTAAGGTACTAACTCAAACCATGGTATTTTCAAGGTGGACAATGACAAAGGATGACTGAAGAAGAACCAATGTACCTGAATTATGGTGCTGGAGAAAAATAGGGTAATATCATGGCCTCAGAGAAGAACAAACCCGTCTTGGGAAGCGTACAGCTAGAATGCTCCTTAGAAGGGAGGACGACAGTAGTTCATCTCACTTATTTTGGACATGGCACCAGGAGGGGCCAGTCCCTGGAGGAAGATGCCATGCTTGGCAGGGGGTCAGCGAAAATGAGAAAGATCCTCAACGCCATGGACCGACAGAGTGGCTGCAACAATGGGCTCCAAAACAGCAAGGACCATGAGGGGATGTCTCATCCTCTCCCAAGTAGGGTCGCTGCGCTCAGAACCGACTCCACAACAGCCAACAGCCACAAAGTATCAGTACCTTAGACAAACTTTAGTAACTTTTACATTCACAACGTTTTTCCATCCCTGCCATTCGAAGTCCAACTTTCCACCATTCTCGTACATTCCTCCAGGACCCTCTGGAGAAACACGTCATTTTATAATGATGTGAGAAGTTGTTTTCATCGACATAACGCTATATCGCAAATCAAACAGTACTTCTCTTCCCCTCTTCCCGTTAATTTCTGATGTTTTTAACATTTCCATTTGGGAGATAAATATCAAATATAAACATGTAACTACAATGTTTAATAGTACTCTTAAGTCGACACTGAAGCACATTTTCATAAAAAAAAAATTAAACGCTAATTTCCGTTTCTTGCATTTAAACACCACATTTTAAGAGCAGAATAATGTGCGTTGAAAATGTTGACACGCACCTGACAAATTTTCGTTCACACAGAACTGTTTCCAACTAGACGCAGTTTACCCAGCTCTTTCCGATTTCCGACCACGGGGGCTCTCAGTCGCCGCGCGCTCCTCACATTTCTCGGTAAGCCCAGCTCACGCCACCGGCAGAGGGCAGGCACTGAGCGGAAACAGCGAGCTCTGACTGGCCCGTGAAGCGTCTCGCGCAAGCAGGAGCTCAAGCACGGCGCCGGAGCCTGTACCACTTCCGGGTAAAGGCGTTGCAGCAGGTCAGCAAGCCATTTGAGTCGCAATTGCACAAATATTCCGGCCCACGCGACTCACCCGTTGCCGTGGTAACATTGCCCCGGCCAATCAGGCGCTTGCCCCGAAAGCACCGTCCCCCTCCATTAGGACTACGTCTCCCATAAGCCTCAGCACGCAATGAGAGGCCCAGTCTCTGCCAGTGGAAGCGTACTTCCAGAGGCATTTCATGCCTGAGAGGTATTCCCTTTCCGACGGGGACCACCCCTGCAATGGCGGTCGCTCTTCACTCAAATCAATCTCCAGCTGCCCCTCATTACATTGAAACACTGCGCATGTGCACGAGTCCGTTTCCTACTGGCAACCCATGTGAGTGACAGGGAATCCGTTGATATGATGGCCAATCAGAACTGGAAGTTCTCCTGGGCCCCTCCCCTAATACCTCCTTGATGTTTCTTTCCCGCCCTTAATCGTCTCCTTGGTAACCCCTACAGCTCTTTCTCCTGTTTTTAGTTATTCCCAGGGCTTCTGGTGGCCCCGTGCCTAAGGCTGCTAACTAGAAGGTTAGTCGTTCAAACCCACGGTCTACTCCGCATAAGAAGGATGAGGCAATTTACTTCAGTAAAGATTTACCGCTTTGGAAACCCGGTGGGGTTTACTATGAGTCAGAATCGACTGGATGGCAGTGGGTTTGGCTTTTTAGTTTTAAGTTGTTCCCGTGGCAACAAGTGAAGCCTTGCACCTACTCTGGTAGAGGCCCCAAGTCGGTCTTTTGCGGCTTAATTCCACTGAGATTTGCCCCTAAGTGGGCTCTGATCTTCAGTCCTGATCCGTGGACTTTCTCCGACATGACACAAGGCAACGAGTATGTTTTGTCTTTCATTCCACATCCACTGAGCGTCATGCGGACATGCGGGACAACACGAGCTCCGGTGGGCAGTCGTTTACT